TCAGACAGGTAAAACTCTGTCATGCCCCCAGGGCCCACGAGAATTAGACGGATGGGAACAAACCCGCTTGGAATAGCTATGGGTTGAAACAATGAATGTGTGTCCTTCTGGGTTTCATCAAGAAAGAGGCTGTAGGAGAAGCCAGGTCCCAAAAAGAACAGAGGAAGAGCCTGGGAGGAGCGGGAGGCTCTGCTCCATCACCCAGGGCTGGGCTCCTCTGGATGCGTTGCTGCGAGGCAGAGAGCCCGTGACAGCCCAGGATTTCCACCCTCCTGAAACCCACGAGGGTTTCCTTCTCTTCCCCAGGAGTCGGATCAGGCCCCGGGAATGCATTTGTTTGTTTTTCCCTTGTCATCAGGCTGCCTTTGGCTGAGAGCTACAATCCATTCAGGGAGGACCTGTTTATCTGTGAGAATAGCAGCACTGCTGTTAAGAGGTAAGAGTGGGAGTGTGCTTCAGGCAAAAAAACGCAGATTATAGCCCCGCTAGTAATGAATCCAGCACAGAGAGAAAGAAATGCAGAACGTTCTAATTTTCTGAATAGATTTAATTCCATTTTGTTCCCGGCGAGTCCCTTCGCTGACAATTGTCTGAGTGGAGGGAGGAAAAAAGGGTTCCAAGCAAAACACTTGTCCATGAAGGATGTTATTAAAATGTCCTACTTGAACACTGGCGCTCTGCAGGCCAGAGGCGCAGAACGCGAGCGGGCTCTCTCCCTCAGCTGAGCTTTGTCGAAAGGCAGCGTGTTTGGCGATTATTTTCCAAAAGCGCAATTGCTGTCATCAGAATTTGAGCTGGCTTGACTTGTCCTGCCCGATTTAGCACCCGCTCCACCAGGGTAGGTTCAGGAGTTCAACGAGAACTTGAGTGTTGTTGGATTTGCAGCAGGCTTAGAAAACACTCGGGAAAACAATAGGGGGAGAGAACAGATGGGGAATACAAGCAGAGTGGGGGCGAAGACCAGAGAGTGGTCAGGGAAATTAAATAATTCCTGTGGCAAGTAAAAATCCACTGTGGCAAAATTCTCCACTGGGGTAAACTTCCAGCACTTGGCTTCCAAGGACTCCTGCTAACTCTCACCCGCGTAAAGACCTGGTTCGGTGCATTTGTTAATCTGGTCCTTTCAGCCGAGAATTTGGCTGCAGGACTGCAGCAGGGATGTCAGCCAAGCTGTAGCAGAGAAGTTGGCCCCACCATCTTCTGATTTGCTTTTCTTTAAAGGCCTGGGCAGTGGGTCCCATCCCCCTGCGGGTGCTGCAAACGGGACGGGTTCCCATGAGACAGGAGCGTACCAAAACCTGGAACCACCACAACCAAACACAAGCTTGCAGGAGGAACTTGCTGAGGACCGTCACTCTTCTGCTTGTGTGGGTAGCAGCATTATCCCCAGCATGCTCAGCCTCTTCTCTTGTGAAGATCACCGTCCCTGCCCCTAAACTCGGGGTGTGTGACCGTGCTGTTATTGGTGCACACGATGCTGAGCACAGGGCAGCGCTGCTCTGGCTCCTGCTTCTTGCAGATGCAGAAAGGACAGAGCACAAAGGCAAACACAGCCCCTCCTGTGCATGTGACAGTCACAGCACCAGCAAGTCGCCGTCAGCTGCCTCATTCCTCCTGACAGGTCCTGTCCTGAAACAATGTCTCAGAGTCTGCAGCTGGTCTGGATTTTCCGTATACAGCTGGAACTGCCAAAGGAACAGAAAAAGCTGGGGTAGCAGAAAAGCTGCCGCTCGCTTTGGAAAGAAAAACCTTTCCCAGCAGTTTGCGTGCAACCGATCGAGGCAGTTTGCCATCCTCCCCGGGGTGGAAGTGCAACCGAAGCATCTTTGAGCTCGGGGGGAAGGATGCTGCTCTGCTGCTGCACAGAGAAGGTATTTCCCAGGGAGGGACTGCACAGCTCCTGTGCCTTGCATTTCCTCTGCAATATTCACTTGGCTGTGGAGCTGGGGCTCCAAACTCTGGGGTTGTTTCCTGCGGGACACCTGGCTGGTGCAGAGCATCCCTGTCCCAACAAGAACCTGCCTTACCTTGAGTTATGCCCCCACAGCACAGCTGCAGCTCTGGGACAGCCTAACTTCTCCCTGAACGCAGCACCTTGATAGCTGGTTCCCAACTTTCCCTCACTGGTTTTCGTGGGCTGTCACAGCAGAACTGATTCTGTTGCTGAATTTCTCAGCCCTTGCAGCTCCTCCCCAGTATTTTGGAGCCACAACTTATCCAGCTCTTCTTATCCCGCTGCCCCAGTGAATGAGAATCCTGCCCAGCACAGGGACCAGTGCTGGACCACTGCCAGTGCAGGAGAAAGGGAGAAAAAATCCCAACCAAGCAGCAACTCAGCCCCTCGGCCCCGAAAATCCCCAGCCTCTTTCCAGCCTCGAAGAGCAGCGAACCTCCACCCTGCGCCGAGAGAAGGCTGTGATGACACCGAGAGCTGCAGGAAGGTGCAACTGGGGCGCTGTCACCTTGGAGGGGTGACAAAGTGGCGGCAGGGGAGTGAGGCTGTGTCTGGAGGTTGTGTTTTTTTTGGTGAGTGGTTTGGGACTGGAGCTGCCAGGCTGGAAGAGAGAAGAGGGAGAGGAACGCCGCACAAGGCATCGGCCCTGCTAAGGACACCCGCTCCCTACAGGCACATGGGAGGGAAATCCCAGCTGGGATTTCTAAGCTTTATCCATCTTGCCATGGTTTCCTGCCTTGCCGTTGTTTACCAGCTTAACAAACTGAAGACTGTTTGAAAGAGATCACCCCTTAATCTGGCTTGTCCTGAGACCAATAGGAGAGGAGGAAGGCAAGGTCACGCACATCCGAGGCCAGCACAGAGCTGAAACATCCTTATTTATCTTCCCTAAGCTGTTCTAAATTTTATCTCCTTCGAGATATATTGGAGTAATCAAGACCAGAATTGGGCGGTGACTGGGACTGTTGGACAGGTCCCGGCTGTCTGTACCCTGTTGTTATTTTTGGTGTGGTCTGAATTTCACCCTGTTTGGTTCCTGGTGCCTGTGCAAGGCACGGGAACAGACATAATGCAAAGCTCCAGGCGAGTGCCTCCTGCCTTCCCCTGTCCTGTGCAGCACTGCCAGGTGTCTGCAAGAAACTCGCCCTCAAGAGTTTATTCAGGCATCCTGACAAAGCAGAAAGCACTCCCCTAAATATCTGTTTTGGGACAGCCAGTCCAAGGAGTGAGACAGACAGCTGAGCACAAACCCGTTTTTTAGAAGCTGAGTTTAAGGTTGGCTAAAAATATGGCCTATCCCTTCCAGGGGTTACTTTGCTTACGGTGCAGACAGGAATAAAGCTATTAGTGACTGAGCATTCGGAGTATTTGAGGCTGGTGTTTGTCTGTCAGTCACTCGTCCTCCAAAACATTCTTGTCAACATTTGGAAAGCAAGCGGGATGTGCACGCCGGCCGGGAGGGGACAGGGGAGCTGTAAGAGCTGCAGACAGGAGGAAAAGCGGGGACTAAAGGACACAGGAAGGAGGAGAGAAGGGAAAGAAGCTGTTAATGAGGAAAAATACTGAAAGCCCCAAACGTCTGGGACAATTTCCATTTACTTTTAGAGGTACTTTTTAGAGGAAGAAAATAGTTAGGTGTAGAGAAAAACAAAACCCAAAAGCACTTGTTTACAAAAAGAACCCCCCCAAAACAAACAAACAAACAAAAAGATTAAGAACATGTACTAAGAAGAGCAAATGAGTGGAGATGACATGGAAGAAGAGAAAGAGGAGAAGTCACCATGGACAAATACAAAAATGCAAGGGCAGAGCAGGGACAGTACGGGCACAGCAGGGCACTCCTGCGCACAGGACAGCGCCGCTTTCCAGGCATAACCTGGGGGACGAGGAGTTACTCAGGGTAAATGTCTGCTGCAGTCCATGAAGTTGGGCTAACCAGATTGAGAGCTGAGTCACTTAGAGCAATCCTTCCGAGGAGCTCATCAATTTGAGTAAAGCTTCAGCCTCGGGCTACAGCGCGTGGCTCTCCTTGACTTCGCCCTGCCACGCAGCGCTGCTGAGGCCGGTGGTGCTCTGAGGAGTTCGGTGGGTAAGAGGGAGAAGAAACCGCCTGGGGCAGGGTCCCAGTGGTGCAGTGGGAACGGAGAAGGTGGCTTTGATCCAGAGAGAGCAATGGGAAGCACAGCGAGGCCTCCCCTGCAGGTGTGCTTGCTCTGCAGCAGGTCCCAGCGCGCTGCGCCGGGTGTTTTATGACAAAAAAATCCATCCAGCCCATAAAAACAATCTGACTCTCCAGAAAGATAAGGGGTACAGCTGCAAACTCACCAGGATGAAATCCTGTTTGCTTCTCTTAAGCTCTCACCAGCCACCAGGCTGTAAACACCACTCACGGCAGGTCTGCAAGGTGTAAACCCTTCTGCAACCTTTTACTGCAGGGCTAGTGAGGAATTATGCCAGTGATATGAACAGGTTCTAAATATTGAGGTGTTTAAATAAATGAAGCTTTCACATACTTCCAGAATCTGTTCTTCACGCTGTGCTGGGGGGCTGTCCAGCCTGTACACCAAAGCACAAACGCATTTTAAGAGAGCAGAAGATTAATATCAGGCTCAGAACGTTATCAGTGTGTGCTGAGAGCTGCTCCAGGCCCTCTGCCACCAGCCAGACAAGCCTCAACTCACCACCAAAGGAGCCCCAATTTCCTGAGCATTGGGGCCAAACGACCAGGACGGAGGCCAGGAGGAGATGTTTCCTTTTCCCGAGATGCTGAGCAAAGAGGGGATCTCTCAGCCATGTGCCAAGTGTCCCTGTGAGGGGGCTTAGCCAAAGGAATATGCAGCGCTGCTCATTCGGTCACTGCAAGGGAAATTAATCCAGAAATGACCCCATGATCGGCTTCCTGGACACACGGGGCATATTCAGAGTGCTTTGGAGAAACTGCTGGCTTGGAGCACCTGGAGAGCTTCAAAGCAGGCTTCCTGACCTGCCCACACCCCCACCTTCCTCTGTGACATCCAGGTGCCGCACACAATTTGGGATTTTCCCCGTGCCTGTAATCACACTGCGGGACCGCAGAGCACGGCTAAGTGAAGATGCGTGGCTCTGACCTGAGCAACTGTCTCCTTTTATTAGTGCTGTTGTGTCGGCATTTTCAGTGGGGTTACAATTAATTAAAATTCCCTATTAATTAAAATGTTTTGCGACAACAACAACAGCAAAAATTGCTTGGAGAAAAGCCTACGTGAAGTGAAACTGGAGCCTGGTCCGCATGAATATGCATGGAGCCCAAAGGACGCTGCATTAGCATGCGTGCAGCCAGTCCCCAACGTAAGCGATGCAGCGGAGGAGGAAGAACGTAGAGGCGAGGAGGATACAAAAATAGGGGTGTAAAATTTTGCATCACCCTCTGTATTTCCCCCTCTGCTCTAACTCGGAGTTTAAGCGCATGGAAATGCCGTGGCTTTCACTACAGGTGGGTGAACGTGTGGGTTTTCCAGGAAACTGAGGGCTTGGGCAGCGCTCCTGCTCCTTGCTCCTGACCGCCCTCAGCCACCAAAGTCTGCACCAGTCCCTTTCCCCTGCCGGGCTGCAAAACGCAGGCAACGCCGCTCCCCTCTCTGCGTGAAGCTCTCTGAGGAATGAAGAGAAAGGAATAGAGTACAGAGCAAGCAATGTGTGGTGGCAATTGACTCTGTTTCCTTCTCGCCTTTGTCAGGGCTGTACCATGGCGGGAGGCGGCTCCAGGGCTGAGAAGAAATCTTTGTTGGCGCTCTGCAAGCCCCGCAGCACAGCGGCATTGTCAGAGCCGGGGCTGAATGGTTCCACCGGGGATCCAGACCCCGCTCTTTCGGGAAAGCAGCAAGCCTCAGTAACTAGCTGGTGCTATTACTGGAGCTGGGTAATTAACACTTCTGCGATTTTACGAGGAAAATGGTGTGTTGTTGCTGGGAGCGCGGGGGGCCAGGGCGCCCCTTTCTGCGAGCGTAAGCAGCACCGTGCCCGGCTCTGCCTCTCCCAAGGCAGGCTCCATATGCAGCACCAGCAAAGGGGGTGATGTGCCTTCCCCTTCCCCTCCCTTCTTCTTTAAAACACTTTTTTTTTTTGGCAGGCACTCCTCCTACTTCAGCGATTTAGAGGCTACGGGGAAGAAATCATCCTCAGAAAGAGCAATTTGAAGCAATGCCTGTCTACAAATGGCGCACGCTTATGCAACGGCTGCGTGCCAGTGGCGGCGTGCAGCTCTGCTCGGCTCCGCTTTAGGACCAAAAAGGAAATTTTGCCTCCTGCAGACCAAGGCAGAAAAGAGGCAGGAGGGGTCTCCTCCTTCAGCAGGGTTACCAAAAAGCCCTTTTCCCCAGGACCGGTGCCAGGTAAAGGTAAAAGGCTTCCAGGGAGGGACGAGACACAAAATGACCATGCAGCCACCATCACTGGCAAGGCTACGTACAAAAGTTGGCAAAAAAAAAAAAGAATATTGATTATTAGATGTTTTTGCAGATATTCATGTGCTCAAGAAGATGTCAGGAACGAAATTTATACTCTGAAGCATATAAGAAATGCACTATTAGTCTGTTTTTTTAAAGCATAATGATCACACAAGCTTCTTTCTAGTTATAATTGGATTTTTAAGGTTTATGGATCCACCTTCAACTTCTGGGCTACTCTAGAGGAGGAGATTATTTTCCCCCAAACTGAGGTTTCTCAAACTCCCTTGACTTAAGGGGCTTTAAGGCAAATCCAGAAGGCATCACGAGAGCTGCAAGGGCAGGTATGGGAAACCTGAGCACAGCAGGCACTGAAATTACGACAGTAGAGCCACAGAATCCCATCACTGCAACTTATTTTTTTCAAAGAATCGAATCACCAAGCTCAAATTGATTAATGGACACAATTATTTGCTAAAGTAAAGGTCCAGTTACATTCATTGACTGCTCCAAGAGTTTGGTTGTCAAACTGAGATGCATAATACCTTACGACTGCTTTAAAGATGACCAACATTGCTTCTTCTTTTCAAATAATAAATGCTTAGATTATGCTTCGAAGCGGGACTGTTGTGTTTTTTTGGTACTTAAAACCCAGCAGGCAATCAGCTAAGGGGCTCCCAAGCCAGCCCCAGCTCCGCAGCACTACGCAGTGAGCAAGCTCAGTGAATCAGATTCATTTCCTCCAAGACCCAAAGGTAGCAACGAGCCATGCTGGATATTTCCCAAGAAAATAAGTGGCCGTGACAAAGAGTCCTTCCAGCCCAGGGAGGCACCAACCTGTTCTTCCAAATGCCGCAGAGATCACTGGAGTTTTACTGCTCCTGATTTGTTTCAAATACGTGAAACGAAACACCCTGCCCTTGGCTACTGGCATGGCCCCAGTGTGCTGCAGGAATGGCACCGGTGGCAGGACAGGGGCTGGCTCCACCAAACGTCCCTGCCTCACCTTCCAGAGCCAGCCCCGGCGCAGGGCTCTCCTCCAAATGCATTTCCCTTCGCACACCTAAGCAGTGGTTTGCTGGTATTCAAGCATGGAAGACCCCAGTCCTACAAACATCAACGCCTCATTTTAGTCCCTGAGCAGTCCTGGAGGCTTAGATATGAGTACAGGTACAGCCAGGACAAAATGCTTAGCCTATTAAGGGAAATATTTAGACAACAGGAAACAAAATGTAGTGTTAAACACTAATTTAAGTGATGTTTATATAACGTTGGGGCATATGTAGGGCTAACAACTGGTTATAGATCAGAGCAAGTGAGTAACGTAAGGACATACTAATTAAAATCCAGTCTTCAGTCAGTCACGGGTTTTCTTTCCCGCTCTGTTACTCTGGTTTTTGATTAGAAAGTAATCATCACATTACACAATATTTCTCCTCATTAAACTACAAAAGCAACAAAGATCCCTTGCTTCTTTGGCCAATTAGTGCCTGTGTACAATCACGGGGAATACAAATCAAAGCGTGGCTCAGCTCTGACCTAATAAGACATCCACGCAAAAGCTAAGCTCCGCAGTTTTTTGTTACTACAGCATTTTTTCCCCTTTACTACAAAGCAGTAGGCACTGAACGCTAGGCCCTGTCTCAGGAAACACAGAGCGGCCATCGAGGGGGCTGGCAGAGCTCCTCGGTGGCTCTGGTTTACCTTGAGGAGCTCCGAAGGGATGCTCGTGCACCCAACCGGGGCTGTCGGGGCTCGCAGCGCTGGCAGCTGGAAGAAGCTGAGCGGGAGGACGGAGCCCACGGCGAGGCTGGCACAGCTCTGCACCTCCCCGGGCAAACCCTGAGAACAGGGGCCTGGAGGGCTGCTACGCCCCTCCTACAACCAGCCCCGCTCCCACTTTTTCCTTTCCCTCTAAGAAAAAGGCCGTTTGCAGAGTTTGTACTTCTCCATCCGCCCCCGCCCCAAATCCCTGTAAGTTATTCTCACTTAAACCAATTTTGCTCTCCCACTGAGTGCCGAAGTGTTGCGAGTCGCGCTGCGCCGTGCTATTCCCGCCCACCCGCCATCCATTTTCTGACCAATTTCCTTCTGACACGCGTCTCCGCCGTCTCCAGAATCACTTCTGGATTTGGCCTGAATCGGAGAATAACATCCTGCAGCCCTGCTAAAAACCTGCACTTTATTACCTCCGCCAGGAGGTGTGTGCACTGGGGATCGCATCTTTTTTGGTTGTTTTTCAGAGCAAACGGAGGGGGAAGCACCAAGGAGGGGGCTGCGAGGCTGGAGCCTCGGCTCGTGTTCCCCACTCCTCCAGCTGTGCTACAGCAGGCAATTAGGAAGTGGCTGCTCATCAGCGTTATTCTCCTGAAGCTGATTAATAAGCACGGTCAGTAAGTGGGGTCCTGCTGCCCCTCTCTCGGAAGTATTTCAGTTTCTTGGCCAATTTTGTTGCAGCTTTGAAGGCACTGAGCTCCTGGCAGTGCCATGGAAGCAGAAGGCAGAGGACAGAAACCCTCCTCACACACCAGCAAAGCCAGATCAGGGCTTGCTCCTGAGAAAATGCTACCTGGAGCTGGAATTCATTGCTCCCTCTGCTCACGGCATGATTTGATTAATCCGGAGGTTTGAAAGGAGAGGAGAGCATCAGCCAGAACATATGCTTCTGTGCAGCAGGGACCAGCTTTCTGTGCTGGATGTACAGTTCCTGGCACGATGGGATCTTGATCGACTTACAGCTTGCATGTGCTCCAGCAAAACCCTGATTTAATCGCAGGAACAGCTCCTGCTCCCTTCCTGACTTCCACAGGCTGGTTCTCTGTGAAGGACGGGGTCCCTCCATCACCTGTTTCCGCAGGGATTCGCCTCGCTGCAGAACTCGCTGCCCCTGCAGCTCGGGGCTGACCCGGGATGTCTACGTGCTGCACTGACCGCGTCACCTCGTGCTGTGTGCTCTGCTCCTCCAGCCCGACGTAGCGGCGTCTCCGCTGCTCCGAGTGGAACAAATGTCACCACCGTGTTTCGCATCGTCTCCTGCTGCTGTCTGCTTTTATTTTGGGTCCTGCTGGCTGTCAGGGCAGGAGCGCAATCCTGCTTTTGGGAGGTTCAACCGGGGAGTTTCACTTGCGAGCCAAACAGCCCAGTGCTAAATGGTAACGGGCTTTTTTTTTTATGGAGAAAAACTGAATCTTCCCCTTGGAAAGAGATCTTCGGGGCCTTGTCTGGCCTGCTTAAGCCAGCACGGATCAGTCGCTGTCCTCAAGCTGGACAGGCAGCGTGGCACTGCGGGGGTGCTGGCCCCTGCATGCCCCGTGCTGCCGAGCTGCCGTTACCTCTGAGCCAATTTCCAGTCCCAAGGCAGCACGGGGGTGAATATTCACTGATGGAAGCCCTCTGGAAAGCAAGCCCAATAAAAGCCCTGCCCTAATGGGATGCCTTTCCAGGGGTATCTGCCGTGCCCATCGATGCCTCCAGCGCCCACCCTTCTGCAGAACGAGCGAGCGATGCCACGAGGGGACCTGACGTGGGGAGGCTTCGTTAGCCTGACACGATCTCAGAACGGCGAAACGGGGCAAAACAACGTGTATTTGTGCTCAGATCCTGGTGATGTTTATTTACTAGGACAAATATAGCTGAGGGTTGCAGCTTATCAACGCTCGCTTTATTTCGAGGGCAAATTGCTACCGTGGAACCAGCCATTTGCTGTTTCCCTGCCATCGCCCAACAAAGGCAGCTCGCTTTACCAAGTCGGCTAATGACCGGCCAAGTCACCTCACGTGGATTATAAACATAAAAAGCACAAAAGGCTCGGGATGAAAAATAACAATTTCCCCCACTCGCTTTTGTGGTCAAACAGTGGGGAATTCGTAGTAGAAAATTCTGCTTTGAAATAGAAAAATAATAGTAACAGTGAAAACAAATGACAAGGTCTCGGTTCTATTGAGCTTTACCGAGCCTTGAAAACCCACAAGTTTTGCTGTTGGAGTGCACGAGGATTCACTCAAAAGTCAATAATCAGCAGAGAGGGATTAGTGCCTTCCAATAACTGCTCGGACTACAAAGACAGGAAGAGGCTCCAGCAGCAGTCATTATCTTATCCCTTTACACTGGCTCGCGGCCCCGCGTTTCACATGCACTTATGTTTACTATTATGGCAACAAAGCAAATTTGAGCAGAGCAATGCCAAGAAATAATCCGACGGCACCTTCGGATCAAATCTTCCTTGATACCTAAGGAATTTGCTGAGATGCTGGGGCCCGACCTGGCTTTCCTGGAGCGAGGAACAGCTCTGCAGCACGCGGCCCTGGGGGCAGCACCGCATGCTGGTACGCTTCCAGCCCTTGGGACACGCTTTCAGCCCTTGGGACATGCTTCCAGCCCTTGGGACACGCTTCCTTTCTGCTCCTCCACCTCTCAGCTAGCCTGGACAGGCCTCGGATGCTTTCATTTTTTTCTCTGCTGGCACCACAGCCCCAGGTTATTCACCTTCCTCAGCTGTGGTCCGAGCTCTGTTCCCCGTTCTGCAGTACCCGCAGACAGATTTGTGTAGAAGCTGTAAGAAATCAACTGGAGATGGAAAGTTCGATACCAGATGAAATTGTTTGGGGTATCTGCGAGATGGCTTATTCATCTAATAGGTTCCCAAAGACCTGAAGCATGGAATCGGTTATCTTAACACAAATCTACAGATCATAAACTCTCTCATTTGGGGTTTGAAGTCACACTTCCATCCTGGTCAGCACCCTGCATTTTACTGCTTCTCCTCACGGCCTTTTGAGAAAATGCTCTGCCCTTCTGCTTTGCTGTGCCACAGCTGCAGGATAAGAAAGAGAAGTAAAAGCCGTCTGCATGCTTTTGTGTTCTCTGCTCCACACAAAAACACACTTAGAGCAGACCTCCCCAGCTGAGGACCTCAGAGCACGTGGATATCTGTGAGCCACTGGCCCTCTGGATCTTTACCTTAGCAGCCACACGGACAAGGCAAGGAGCTGGAATGAGTTTGGGCACAGACACAGGTGATAAACCCTGCCCTGAAATGTGGTGCAGGCCCGCAGAGCGCACCCAGTCCTGGGGGCTGATCCTGGGGCTGCCTGCACCCGGAGCCGAGCAAGCAGATAGGGGTAGCTGGGCTCAGGGGTGCCGCTGCTGGGGAAGTACCGTCGGCTGGTTTCCATCTCTTCTGGCAGAGAAAAGCAGTTGTTCTTCCCTTTGGGATTCGGAGGAACTACCCTGAAAGCCACTGGTCCAGAATCTGGGGTTTGTGCCTCTTGACTCACCTCCGGGTTTGTATTTCCACAAGCGTCAGGCAGAACCATGTCTCCAGCTGCAGCCCAAAGCCTCTCCTAGGATGATGGAGCCCCTGCACAGCGCTCCCTGGAAGCCAGGGCAGGATGACTGTGATGGATTTGTCACACACGGCTCGGTGCACGCTGCCCTGACACCAACGGGAGAACTCCTCCTGGGTTACACACCTGCACTGCTGCTGGGGGAGCGCTAAACGCCCAAACCAAAAGCCTGATTTTTCTCAATTCTGAGTGAATTCAGTGCAGATAGGTCTCTCCTCCATAGCGTTCCCATGGTTTGTCCTGTGTCCCTACAGGGGCACTGCGTGTGCAGTGTCTGGGCTCCAGGAACTACACCAGCCAGCTCCCCCATGCAATATGGCAGGGGGGCTGGGACACGGGGTTATGTGATGGAGAATGGATCACCAGTGCCAGCCCCCGAGCAGCAGCCCTTTTGTGTGGGGGTAGAGCAATCCCCAAAGCAGCCTGCGCTGCCTGCTGGAGCAGGACAGACCACTGGTGGTTTGCAAATCAACCACAGAGCCCGCTGAGCTAGGACTGGCTGCTGCAGGGCAGATGGCAGCCCTATATAAGAACTATGCTATATAGCTCAGCGAGGGGGCCTCGTGGAGATCCCAAAGCTTGGGGTCCCTCTGCTTCCACCCCTGTGCTTTCAGGTTACAAAAAGCAGCAGGGTTGGGAGAGCCCGGCCCCACCTCGCCCCCAACAGAAGACACAGGCTAAAGGCAAAGATAAGCCCCACAAAGGCTCCTGCTGCAAAGCCGCCTGTATCAACAAGCCCCAGCTCCCGCGGCTCGGTGACCGGGCTGCCCAGTGCCCCCGGTCAATAAAGGGCCGATTCTCCTCCCTTTCGGGAAACAATGTGTTCCACACACTGACACAAACACTGGCCCCTCGGCGAGCCCCGGCAGTGTCAGGGGGTGTCAGGCTCTGCCCGGCGGGCTAACAAAGGCGCGAGCCCGCGGCCAATCTCCTCCTGCCATCGCGGGCTGCCCTCGCTGCGCGAGCATGATTTTTTTTTTTCTGCTAATGGAAATGAAGAAAACCTCCAGCGCAGATAATCCCCCATTATAACGGCAGTACGTTCGGGACAGGGGCCAAGCAGCGTAAAGAACAAGCCAAATCTCTTTTACTTAAAGGCTGGCCGGGATGTGATAATGTAATGACTTCGGTCTCGATGTTTCAAACGCCATTCGCTGTGATTGACTTCGCATATAGATGGTATCGGCTGCGATAATTAAGAACGAGGAACAGATAGCATTGGCCAGCTTCTCCTTCCAAAAAAAAAATGGTACCTGTTTGCAAGCAGCCCAGAAGCTCCTTAAATCTGAGCCCAGGTTAGTTCCACAACAATTTCATGGGGTGCTGGATTAGCCTATACATGCTGGGAGCTTCTTCTGGCAAGGTGGGCTTCCCAAAGTGGGGTAACCCCGGCTGCTGCTTGCCTTCCCGGTGTCTGATAGCCACCTCGTATTTGTTTTGCAGAAATACAGCACAGCTCAAGCCCTGCTACTACATGCTAGCTTAAAATGGCTTTCCATTACGATTAGCGGGGTTTGAAAGGGGATTGTGCTGACATCTCCAAAGAAGCAAAATATTTATGGGAGAAATTAAGCCACTGGAATGACTGGTGGTGTTG